GAGCTCAGTTCTGGGCCCCCAAGAGCAGGGTGGTGGCATCCCCTGAGTCCTTGGGATGGACACAGGTCAAGGGTCAGGGGTCGCTCCGCACCCCAAAACACACCCCCATGTGCTTTCTGAACAGGGCAGTAAAGGTGGCAACACATGGCACGCTGGGGAACTCTATCCTGAAATCCACACGTTTTTAGTCTCCTGGGGAGTCTGCAATGGGATGATCGGAGGAAGAGTCTTCTGTCATCTGGAGAAAGCAGGAGGAGAGCAAAGGCCTCCACTTCCACAGGCTGCCCTCTTAGGTTCCCACTCTCCCCAGGGGTACCCCTCCAGCTGAGCTCTGCCCCTCTCACAACAAAGGGGCCCCCTTCAATACTGAAGGGGCAAAGGACGGTCTGATTGGCAGGAGGTGGCCCAGGGCATCATCACCCTGCTCTGCCCTCGTGGCTTTGGAGAGCAGAGGAGCCAGGCCCAGGGGAACGAGCTGGCCTTGCCAACTCTCTGCTTACCTCCTCACTGCCACTTGTCCCCCCACCGCCATCCACCTGCCCAGAGCTCAGAGCTAACCACCATCCATGGTCAAGACCTCTCCTGGCTCCACACAAGCAGTAGAGTCTCAGCTCTGCAGCTTTACCCAGAAACCCCTGTGAGCCTGCCCCCTGGCCCCTCCCCATGTCCCTCCAGACCTCAACCACCTGCCCGCCACATCCTCTACCTGCAGTCCTCTTCCCACGCTCATCCCTGACAGACCCTACTTAACCCCCAAACCCAGTCCAGTGGCCCCCCTTCCAGGGGTCCAGGGCCAGCCAGAGGTGCCCGTGAAACTTCTACCCACAGTTACAGCCACAAGCTTGCCTCCTCCCACCCTGCCAGCCTATGAGTTCCCAGAGGGTTGGGACAGTCCCATGACCCCATGTCCCAGCTCCCCACACGGTGCTGAGCCAGAGGGGCATTGGTGTGAGGGATTGAATAAAGGAACAAATGAATGGCTGCCCCTCACTGACTCCAGTTTTGAGCCCCCAGGATCCTCCCAGGTTGGGGGGAGGAGGAAAGTGCTGGGGGTTCCTTGCCGGGGTGGGCTTTCCCAAGCCAGCTTCCCTGCCCCATGTACCAGGCCAGAGTGGCTGCTGTTTCCAGCCCCAGTTGTGGGCCTGGTGCTGTGCTGGGCACCTCAAAGCATCATTTCGCTTCACATTTTCCTGAACCCTGAAGGGCAAATGTTGCCCCATTTTACAGATGAAAAAACTGAGGCTTGAAGAACTTAATGGTCCATGACACTCAGCTATGTGGGGGCAGTATCAGGATTCAAACCCTTCAGTAGGCCACCAGAGCCCCACTCTGGCCATAATACCCCCAGCCTCTCCCAACCCAGCCTCACCATCTGGGTATCCAGTAACTCTCCTGGAGGCAGCAGCAAGGCCACGGGCCCGCAGTGTCCACGAGCATGGCTTGCAGAGAAATGCAGTGCAGTGCAGTGCACACAGAGGTCGGGGTGCAGGCGGGAGCCATTTGCTGCCCAAGCAGGTCCCTGCCAGCCCAGCTAATCACCTGCGCCACCCCGGGGCCATGCTCAGATGGTCTCTGGGTCCACCTGTGCATGCATTTACGCTTCCAGGCACCTCCACTGAGCGCTATGCCCCCCGCCCAACACACACACATTAGCTATGTGTGCACACGCGGCCACATGCACATGTGCACACACGGGATGGGAAAACAGAAAGCAGCTCTTTGTCCCCACAGGAAGGGGGTCACTGCTTGGCCTGGTCTTGTCAGCTGCAGCCCCTGGGCCTCTGGAGGGCCATGTACTCCGGCTATCTACCTATGGCCACCCCTCAGTAAAGAACCACAAGCAAGGATCCTGCTTGTGAAGATGCCTGAACACTAGGTCATCTCAGTCGCCCTGGACTTCTTGTCTTTTGTCTATCTGCTGCCCAGCTGAGGCCCAGTGGCCTTTCTTACCCTTGAACAGCATTCTTGAGACCTTGGGGTTTCCAGAAGCTTCTGGAAGGTAGAACCCAGGGCTGGTGGGAGATGGCCCCCTCCTGTCTTCTGGGATATCCCTCCAGCTCACCCAGTGAGTCTGGGCTACCCCTCTGCCCACATCCTGAGGTTTGAAGAACCTGATGGCCCATGACACTCAGCTAGGTGAGGGCAGTATCAGGATTTAAACTGTCAGCAGGCCTCCAGAGCCCCACCCTGGCCACATCACCAGGGCCCAAGACCTGTCTGCTTCCAAACTAAGTCACCCCTCGATTAACTCAAGAGGCCCTGGAAGCTGGGAGGGCCCAGGGCCCTGTCCCTCTGAAGCAGGCGTCCCCAAACTACGGCCCGCAGGCCACATGCGGCCCCGAGGCCATTTATCCGCCCCACCCCCGGCCGCACTTCAGGAAGGGGCACCTCTTTCGTTGGTGGTCAGTGAGAGGAGCACAGTACGTGGCGGCCCTCCAACAGTCTGAGGGAGAGTGAACTGGCCCCCTGTGTAAAAAGTCTGGGGACGCCTGCTCTGGGGAGTGAACAGCCTCGACATGGCCAAGTGGGTATCAGCGAAGGGAAAAGGGCCTCACTCAGCAGCAGCCATAAGCCCACCAGAATGGCAAGCTTTTGCTTGGGACACACTATGTTCTGATGCGCACCACAGGAGCTCCAACCTCAGAAGCTGTGAGAACACCCCGAGATGGAGAGCCAAAGGAAAGAAGAGCCCACAACCACCCCATCCATCTCATCCCCATGGCAGTAGAGATCTCAGGCAGCAAGGATGAGGAAAGTGGCTCAGGAGCAACTTTGTCCATTCTCCTGCCTCCAGCCAAGCCTACAGCTCACCCAGAAGGAAGTGTGGGAAGAGGCAGCACCAAGCCCCATGGGCTCCAGATCTGCCTTCAATAATAAGGGGCTTCTATCCAGAACAGCTGGGCACTGGCTGGGCTGATGTTCCCCTCCTGGGCGCCTACATGACGAGAGCAGGTCTGTGAACTCCTTCCCCAAATCCCTGTCCTTGAGAGCCCTGAGGTGGAATCTCCTGACACGTCCCTGTGAGGACCACCCACCAAGGAGCCAGCACACCTGGAATCTCAGCCACCATCAGGCCCTGGACATACCATCAGGGGCTGTCTGGGACACTACTGGAGTCACTGCCAGGCCAGCCAGACCCTGAGGAGCTTAGCTCAGGCCCAGGTGCTAAGTTCAACATCAGTAGCACAAGATGATACACTGAGAAGCAGGTGACCATCTCTTACTGATGGGTAAACTGAGTCAATGGCTGAGTCCAGGAATCTGTCCTCTTACAACTAAGCCCTTGAATGACGGGAACCCTGAGCCGCCTTATGCAGAGGGAAAGACCAAGTCTCACAGTCATATGGCAACCAGCAGGACTGCGGTCCATGCGTCCAACTCCTGGACTGCCCCCTTCCTGCCCCCCCCCCACCTGATAGACTGTCTCCTCTCCTGTTTAGGGTCATTCTAGAAATTTCTGAGGTAAAGATATTCCTTCCTTTCCTAACACCAAGGAGCCCTGCCTGCCTGTCTTTATTTCTTTGGCTAGTCGTGATGGGAGGAAGGGAATCCGAGCCAAGTCTCTATCCCTTGGTCAGAAAGAAGAGCGACAGAGAGATTGTAACCCAGAGATTCCAATCACCAACCCAGGGACAGGATGTCCTAGCAAGATTGCCCCAAACCAGGGCCTCTCCCAGACTCCCAAGACTGTGAGCAGCTGGGGGACAAGCAGGGCCTGAGCCTCACCCCTAGGGGGCTGGATCAGAAGGGCAAGGAGAGGCTGAGTCCACGGAAACCCACACCTGGGGCTCTGCTCTTGCACCCTTGTTAGGACTTTTCAGGAGGAATCTCAAGAGGTCCTAGGGGGCACCATGGTGGGAAGGGTCTCATGACAAAAGCTTCCTTCAGGGATGGAGAGAAGGAAGGGAAGTAGATGAGGCTGACTTCACCTCTAGAGAGAAGTGGAGGCTGCTCAGGTCAGGACCTGCCACTCCCACTAAGGGATGCTCCCCAGCTGAAGGGTGGGGGTCCTGCAGGCATGGAGGCAGCCAGGCCTAAAGAGGGACTAGGCTTTCAAACTGCAAAATGCTGCCAGGACGAGTTGGCCAACAGCCAGAGCCCCCTGCAGATGGAAGATCAAGATGTAGAATCGGCAGTGGAGGGGGATGGCAAGCCAAAGGTGGGAGGAAGCCTTGCGGAGTGGATGGCTGAGAAGCCGATCGAGGGAAGAGTCCTGAGTGACAGAGCAAGCTTGAGTAACGCCCCACGACTGCCACCCTCAAGGTCTGCACCCCGCCTTGCTCTCCCCTCCTGACGATCCTGCACACGTGGGTATCTGTCCCTTGTGACTGAAGACTCAACAAACACAAACCCATCTCTTAACACGTCCATCTGGACCACGGATTTGTTAGGGTCTCCACCAATGAGTAAACACGGTGAACAGGGTGGCCAGCACTCCTTCCACCTTGAGTCCCAGTAGCTGCCCACAGTCAACCAGAGTGGACTTGGGGGCAGGAAAGGTACCAGGGTCCAAATCCCAAGAGAGGAAGGAGAAGGAACACAGGCTCTAGAGTCAGGCAGAACTGGAGGCCACTTGGACTCAGTCACTCATTCACCTCAAGACCGGGGAGCAGCCACTGAAGGTCTCCAAGGCCAGGAATCCTCTCCTCCCTCCAAGGGCTGCTGAAGGATGAGGCAGCATCTATCCCACACCCAGGTCAGTGCCCGGCACACATGCCCCGAGGTATGAGTCCTATTAGCCATCGGGGGCAACCAAGGTCTCCAGGGATCTGCCTGCCTTCCTGAGAAGCTAAGGTCTGTGAACCTGCCAGAGACCAGCCACATTTCCTGCCTGGTCCTCAGCCCAGCAGGGACACAGGACGCTGTGAGACAAAACCAAGTCATCCCCGGAACCCAAAGCTACGCTCAGCCCAAAAGTTCAGGAGTGACTTACCAGCTCTCAGCCCAAGCCCAAAGCCAGGATCTAACAGCACCCACCCCAAAAAAACTGCACAGGACCGTTGGAATTTGGAAAGTTTTTGTTTTCTTTTTCCCACACATTTCCGGGGTTGGGGTGTTTTCCAAGACTCAGACACATTTGTTAACAAAGAGAGAAAAAAACTGGGGGAGCAGAGAGCCCGTGGGCAGAGAAGTGACCCCAGCAGTCTGTGGACAACACCTTGCTCCCTCTTCCCTGCTGCCCGCACCCAGCGGGTGCCACAGGCTGCTGCTCGTGGAATCTAGAGTATTTGTCTGTAATATATATCTGCATTTGCCTTTCCCCTCCCTCCCACCCCCCACCCCTGCTCCTCCAGCAGCTTCCCCATCAATGCACGTCGCCCGGCGGCACACACAGAACAGGCCTTCAGCCAGGCCTGAGCCCCTTCCCTGGGCAGCACCAAGCAGTTGCCTCTCCTGGTGAGGGGAGTTGGGGCACTTGGGGACAAGCCCACCCAGCCACTGGGCCACTCAGGCCCACCCTCCCACCAACTCTGGAAACCCAAAGGGAGGAAAGGAAGGGAGAAACCAGACACACACAAAAGAAAGTGGGGAAGGAAGGTGGGGACAGTGAGACACAGCAAGCCTGGGATGGGGACTGGAGGGCTTGGGAAGAAAAGGAAGGCAGGAGGGACAGAAGGAGGAAGAAGAAAAATTGAGGAAAATTAACAGGACTAGTAGTGGACACTTTACAAAACCCCCAGCCTTCCTTCCCACCCAACCCCACCAAAATAAAACTACCCCCCTTAAAAAAATAAATCAACCCAGGGCTGTGAGCACGTGCCCTGCCTGGCAGGCGCAGAGCTGAGAGGGACAGTCAGACCCGGGACTGACGAGGCCGCGCGCGGTGTACGGCAGGAGGAAGGGGACGAGCACAGGGTTTTCCTTTTCTTTTTTTTTTTTTGCGTTTCCTCTTCGTGAGAGAAGCCTGAGGCAGCCAGGGAGAGGGTCCCCAGGCCCCTGGCAGGGAGAGGGCGGCACCCTCCTCCCGGGCCCTCCCAGGAGGGGCAGCTGGCAGTGGGCCGCAGTGCCAGGGGCTCAGACGTAATACTCCTTGTCTTTGTTCTTCTTGGCCTTGCTGGGCGTCTTGGGAGCAGCCGGGGCCTTCTCTTTCACCACCGCCCCATTGCTCTGGGCCGAGTTACTGATGTAGTTCCGGCTCTGGTCCACCTGGTAGGAGCCCTCGTCGCGATTGCGGTACTTGTACATGGCGTAGAGGAGGATGAGGATGCAGAGCGCTGCCGCCGCCACGATACCCACCACCATGCCCGTGGTGCTGCTGGACTCCCGGATCACCTCCACTGCGCCCGGCGGGCCCCGCTCCCCAGGCCCTGTGGGGTTGGCTGTGGGCAGATGGGGGAAGCCGGGGGCTGAGGTCACGCCGGGTCGCAGGGGAGGCGGCCTCCGCGGCTCAAAAGACGTGGGGGCCCCGGGCCCCAAGGGGGGGTTCTCCAGCAGGGGCTGAAGCGGGTCTCGGTGGTTCATTTTGCCCGCTGGCAGGTTGGGTGCCGGGGCAGAGGGGGCAAACAGCACCCCAGGGGCACCCGTTGCCCCATCTGTCCTGAGGTTGGGCCGGGGAGCGGGTTTTCGGGGTGACAGGAGGGTGGTGCGGTCCGTGACCAGGGGAAAGGTGGTATAAAAGTCCTCGTCGTCCGTAGGGGGAAGGCTGGAGTCAAAGACCTCCCCGGAGGCGAAGCCCGAGGCCTCGATGGGCTCCTCGCAGTCGCTGTCGTCCCGCTCGGCCTGGCACGGGCCCCCAGAGGGCGGGCGGCGCGCCGCGGGCGGGGGCAGCGTGTCTTGGGTGGCGCCCACGCCCGTGAGGAAGGGATAGAAAGTAGGGGGCGGGGGCACGAAGGGGGATCGGGTGGCCACGGGAGGGGGATCTAAGGAGTCCTCCGTGATAATGGGCAATATTAACTCTCCTCCTAGAACAAGAGAGAGAAGAGAAAAGAGAGGGCGTCAGCGAGGGCCAGGGCGCAGGCGGCCGGCACAGAGAGAGAAACAACAGCCTCACACACCCAAATCGGTTCCAATTGGCTTTGGCGGAGACTAGAGCGGGCCAGGCCCGCCCGCCAGCCGGCCGAGCACTGCGCTTTAAGCGGGCAGCGGCTCAGATGCCCTGGGCACCCCACGCACGGGCTCTGTGACTCTCTGGGTTTTGGTCTTTGGTTTGTCTTAAGAAATCAAAAGGAACAGAAAGGAAAGGAAATTGAAAAGAAACAGAAAAAAAAACTCTACTGGTTTAAGGCTTTAAAAACAGATACAACAGCAGCATTTAAACAAACCTAACAACAGTATCTTTTAGGGTTTTTTTTTTTCTAGATTTTTCTCTTTTTTTTTGCTTTTGTTTTTTTTTTTTTTTTTTTTTTTTTTTTGCTTTTGTTTTTAAAAAAGAAGATAGCATACCACGGAATTCAGGCAACTTACATCAACAAATAGGCCGTGTGATTTTAGCATGAAGAAAAAAATTACAAACAGAGCTGTGTAAGCGGGTTCTCCCGGAAAAAAGTAAGAAAAAACAATTTTTCCGTACAACGTTTTCTGTCTATCTGCTCGGTATCTCCCTCCCTCACTCTCCGCTCCCTGCGCATCCTGCCTCCTCCTGAACTCTCTCTCCGCCCTCACCTGTCCCTCTCCCCCTCATTCAACACAAAGCTAAACTCTGCACAGGGCAGGCTGGGGCTGAGGAGCGGTTTCCACCACTTGGTGTCAGCATGTCAGGGAGGGAGGAGCAGTGGGCAGAAGGGCTAGGAGAGTAAGGAAGTGACAGGCAACCATGTAGGGATTGCTACATGGATGAGAGGTCTTGGGAGGGGACGGCCATGGGAGGGGGCTTGGAAGGCTAATTGCAGGGTGGCCACGGGAGGGGAGACATTGAAAGTGGGAGATGAGGTGGCCCATGAGGAAGAGCGGACAGGGAGGAGTTGGACGCACTGGAGCGGGGTCCTGTCCCATAGGACTCTGGGAGGGGTGGGGAGAAGCCATGTGGAGGCAGGGATGTGGGGAGACAAGAAGGGAGTGAGGGAAGTGGGCAGGGCCACATGGTTCCTGAGCTAAGCCTAACTCCCCAACTTTCTGGTCTTCACCCTCCACCTCTGACCCCCACTGACTTCCCCCCTCCCCCTCCCCAGAACCCCCATGGGCCACCAGGACCTGGCCAGGGCTTGACTGCCTCCAGCCCTCTTATTATTGTTAAAACAATAATAAAACAACGGAAAGAAGAAGAAAGCAAAAAAAGAAAAGAAAATACATACACAGCCATCTGGGAGGGAAGCACCTGCTAAATAGGGCCCATGGGAACAAGTGGGCTTTGTGATGGGAGAATGAGTCTCTAGGTCTGTTAACTGGAGTCCCTTAGGCAAAAACTGCAATTCCCATCAGCCCCCAAAAGGTGAGAACTATAACTCCCATCAGTCCTTGGAGGAGTGTAGACCACAATTGCCATCAGCCACTGGGTCAACAACTGTGACTCCCATCAGCCTCCTGGGCCTCCACTCAAACCAAAATAGTGTAACCCCTGGTTTGGGGTAGAAGGGAGCTGGGGTGGGGCTCTAGGTGGCTAGTGGGAGGACTTGCTCCTCTTGCAGGTGCACCTCTGGGCCTGGTGAGGGCTGGAGGTTTCCTCTCTGGCTCTTCAGCACAGCCTAAGCCCTGCCCACATCTGACTGTCTCTCACTGATATCTGCAGGGTGTGGTCTTCATCATGCCCAGAAGTTCCCCAGACCCTCAGTGGTAAAGCACCCCAGGGCCTCCACTGCCAAGTCCCTCCTGCCCCACTGCAGCCCGTTTGATCCACACATCTTGGCACTCTTCTCCTGCTCCCCACCCACCCACAGCCCTCTGCCTCTGCACTGAGTTCAAACCCTGCTGCCAACCCTCAGATCACAAGCTCCAGCAATGTTGCAGAGATGTCCTTGGCCACACCTGCCAGCCTGTGGCCAAGACCTTTCCACTGAACTTGAAGCCTTGCTGAGTTCCCCAGGCTGCTCTTCCCACCAGACTCCAATCTCCCGTGGGCAGGGGCTCACCTACACCCTAGATTTTGAAACCCCAGAGCTCCTACCCCTCCAAAGGCTCGGCCACAATGAAAAACTTTGAGCCAAGAGCAAAGCAGCATGTTTTGTGGGGCTGGGACTATTCTATCCAAGCTTGTTGTGGATGAGAATGCTGAGGCCTGGGTGGGCAGGACTTTCCAAGGTCACCGGTATAGGTGCCCAGCAAGGTGAGTGAGGCTGCGGAAGGGCTAGATCTCATGAGGAGCCCAAGAAAGCCTAAGTCATCCTCCCAATGCCTCCAGGAATCTGCTGGGGCTGCTTGACTGTTGGTTTGGATGCTAATCTGGGAGTCCACACATAAACCTGTTCTGTTACTGAGTTCCTGTGTGACTGTGGGCAAGTTTCTTCCAGAGTCTGGGCCTCAGTTTCCTCATCTATAAAACTGGGGTATTGGGCTCCAGGCCCAGGATGAGGCCAAGGCTTGGCTCTCCTGGGACCTCTAGCCTTTGGATGATCAAGTATGTCTTCCTGTACCCACCTGAGACCCAGATGAGGAAAGCTGCACCCTGGTCCCCAGGTAAGGGGCAAAGCCAGCTGTCAGCTCTCAGGGGGAGGGTTAGTGGCCTCTCAAACGGTGGTAACCTGGGCCCAATCCTGGCAGGTTCCCTCCCTGCATGGACCCTGAGTCCCTCTGGGGTCCTCCCTGCTGGTCCATACCACCCGCCCTCTACCTGATCTTTGCCTTCTATTCAGAACCCCTCCCTGCTGGCAGCTCAGTCTGGCCAAACACCTCCTCTTCCAGGCAGAGGATGCTCCCTGCCTTGAGTGCCTCTGACATCACATCCCAATTCTGCCCTGGAAGCACGGCTTTGTACTCACTGCCAGGAAAGGGCCAGTGGCCCGGATCTCATCTGTCTCTCTAGCCCCAGGAGTGGGCCTGGCACAGAGCTAGGGCTCATTATGGTTTTCCAGGAGAAGGGGAACAATATTCCTCAGGCATTTCCTCTGAGCCAGGCCGGGCTAGGTATCTAGGGAAGGGAGTGGGCGTCTCTCACAGGCCAGAGCAGATGAGTTCTGAACACCCCGCCCCCTCCACCTTCTTAGGCAGCCGGCACTGCTGAGAGCTCAGCCTGGCAAGAACCTTTCTCTACAAACTAGCTCCCACCCCAGCTCGCCACCTTCCATCTTAGACTGGGCCACCAGCTGCTGCTGGAAACCCCAGTGTCAAGGCTTGGCCTAAGCTGGCTGGCCATAGCTGGAGCCCCAGCAAAGTGCCAGGCCCAGGGCACAGGACCAGACCAGGAGGCCCTTGCTGAAGCCACATCCTGCCCTAGAAGGGCTGATAGGCTGATCAGGGCACAGAGCTCGGCCCTCTACCAACCCGCTCTCCCCTAGCCTGGCAAGGACACGGGCAGCTTCAGGCCTTGGACTACAGACAAGTCTTGCCCAGCCTGAGCCCCCTATAACCATTTGCCCCAGCTTAGCCCTTGGGACACACAGGCTCCTCAGGTCCCCCTTCTGCAGCTTTCCTCTGCCCCCAGACTCCTCCCAGGCCTGCTCATACTGGCCTCTTGCCCCTCCAACCCCAGTTGCTTTCCAGTCTCCATATCTGGGTCCCAGCCCTGTCCCTGCATCCATAGCTTATCTGGGGCTTCCCTGGGCCCTTCTCTGCCCAAGGCTTTGACGGCACCACCTCCTGAGGTGTCCTCCCCTCACCCACACCCCCACACTGCCATGATTCCTCCTCGATGCCTTCTTATGGTAGCCCCTGTCTCCCACATGGCTTCCTCCCTGTTTCCTCCCAGTGCCCCATACCCCACTTCCTCTCCACGAGACAACAGGCTCTGGAGAACCCATGAGAATGCATGAGGACTTCCTGGCCTCACTTAACCTGGCCTAGGCTCTGGAGCAGTCAAGTCACACCTAACCTAGGGTGCTGGCCTTTCCCAGGTCACACACCAGTTCAGGAAGGATCAGAAGAGGCTGCCCTGGTGAGGAGTCGGCAGGACCTTGAGGAGGGGAGGACCAGGCCCCTCAGAGACTCCTCCCTGCTGAAAGCCCACTGCTGCCCGTGCTGCTGGGCTTTGTGGGTGCAGACTCACGATGACTCATGGTCCAGCTCTACACCAAGGACGCATCCTGGAATGGGGTGCTCCTAGGAGCTAGCAGAGTCTGGTAGGACCCCAGGCAGCCTCCCGCCTCTCCCCAACTTCAGGCAGCTGCAGCATTTGGAAAATACTCACAGGTGCACACTTAACACAGATGCCACCTGCCCACCCAACACTCCTCTGCATCCTAAGAAAAACTAAATTTCCGTGCATATCAGTCCCACTTACTAGAGAATGCCATCCCTGACCAGGGATACCACCAGCCATTCCTAATCTCCCCTTCCTCCCCAATTCTCCTTCCTCTGGGGGGCTGCTGGCCCAATAAACTGAGGCCCTTCTGCCCTTAGGGCACAGAGGGCCCCTGACTGGAAATCTACTCAAGAACCCCATGAGTGGAGTAGGTGTGCCCAGCCACAAAGAGAAGTCAGAACTGAGGTTGCACATGTCCGAGACTAAGCAGGGAGCTGGAGGCCCTGCCCAGGCTGTGAGGGGCAAGAAAGCCAGCAGCCTACAGGGCATTTCGTGGGGGTTAGAAAAGACAGTTCTATGTGGACATGACCCTACGGTGTGTGACTTCACAAACAGTACCTTTGTGCAAAATTGGAAAAAGGATTCTGTCCTCTCAATGGACACAGTCCTGTTTGGGTGCCCAGGACACACAGCTGAGCAAGCAGAGCCCTGGCCAGATGTCACCCCCTACTCACCTGTGCGAGCAGAGGACAACCTGAGCCCTGTGTGTGTGGTGCCCTGAAGGACGGTACCCCTCCTCACCCCACAAGCACCAGTGCAACAGGGGCAGAAGCCAGGGTATTTCAAGGTAAG